TCGTATTCGATACCCAAATGATGGTTAAAATGTTGGTGCAATGATGGTTAAAATGTTGGTGCAATGATGGTTAAAATGTTGGTGCAGTGTGGTGTAAAATGTTGGCGCAGATGTTGGTGTAAATCGTGATGTGGCATAAAATGTTGGCTCAGTGCGTGGGATGTCATATAATATTGTTTCCGATATTGGTACATTGTTAGATGTTGGTGTAAATCGTGATGTTGTGCAAAATGTTGGTACAGATGTTGGTGTAAATCGTGATGTGGCGTAAAATGTTGGCTCAGTGCGGTTATATAATATTGTTTCCGGTATCGGTGCATTGTTCGTGTGTCATGTTTTGTGGTTTTAAGCTCGTTTACAGTTTTTTCCTTACTTATTTTTGATTTTGGAAAATTATTTTTAAATTTTACAAGAAATACAAACATGTTGGCCTAAATGCGGTGCGACATTATGTTGGTTCAGATGTTGGTGCAAATCGTGATGTGGTGTAAAATTATGTTGCAAATGTTGGTGCGTGGGCTGTTATGTGATATTGTTTCCGTTCGCAGATCGTGTTTAGGAAATCATGTCGTGGTCACGCTATGAACAACATCCTTTCACCCGTATGTTGGACATATGTTAAAATAAGGCCATAACCGGAGAAAAAGATAGAATTACATGACTAGGAAATTACTAGAACGTATTCAAAACGTATGCTGTTCGACGTTAAAATAACTTCATAACCAGATGGACGCAACCTGCTGTACATTGGATTAAAAAAAATTATAATATAAAACAACTGGTAAAAAAAGTCGTGTTTTCCGGTCTAGCTCTATATAACGCAAAACTGGAATCAGCATACCATTCGTGCTCTTTAGCGACATACAAGCAACAAAACTCGCTATGCCTCAAAGAAAGCGTGCTAATTTAACCTCTGTGAAAGAACCATGTTCTTCCAAACGTCGACTGTTTGGGAAACAACTAAAGATATACGTGAAGCCGAGCCTTACGTGACCGTGCATGGTGTTATTTTTGACCTTTTGCCGGTGAAAGAAACTCCGAAATGTCGATTTTTCACCGGGAGTCTGACTGATGGTCAAAAGTTTATTGAATTTGTTTGTTTTCACTCGAAGAAATTCGCTCTCATCATCGCAATACAAGCGTGATATACATAGTTCAAAACTTGTTTCAACAAGGCAAAGAACATCGTACAATCAGTTTGAATTCTCACTATATAATCATATTTAAAAACCCCAGAGATAACGCTCAAATCTCCCATCTCGCAAAACAGATATTCCCGGGGAAAACAAAATACGTGCAAGAATCTTACAGAGATGCTACTCGCAAACCTTTTGGGTATATATTACTCGATCTTAAACAAGAAACAGACGATTGCATTCGACTGCGTACAAATATTCTTAGCGAACGACCTATAGTGTATGTCCCGAAAAGTTAAAAAGGGAAGGAAGATTATTTAAATTGTCATTTACTCACGAAAAGTCAAGCTGGATTCATGTCTGCCAAAGTGGAAAAACATATTGATATTTTACGAGTGTTGAGTAACTGCAAACCCCAACTGGCAAAGGCGATTATTCAAGCGGCTGATAAAGACTTGATATTATGCTTATGTGAATGCACATTGAATGTTTTGAAAGGAAACATACCTCTGAAGCCTTCGCAAAAAAGAAGACTGGCGCCACACAAAAAAAATTTGCGTAAAATCACAAACAAAAACATTTCAATAAAACACAAAAAGAAAATAATTCAAAGTGGTGGGTTTTTGGCTAGTTTGATCGGTATTCTCGGTGGTCTGATTCCCTCAATAATAGGCGCAATCACGGGGAGGTGAAAATGGAAAATACACGCAAAATGGTTTTGATCGAACCCAGAGTAATAGAGGCGATGAAATCGTCGAATACGAATTCATCACAACCCATGAACAATTTAGATAACGAAATGACGGAAATTTTGAACAAACCTAATCTACGGATAGATGAAAAGATTACGTTATACCAACAGACTTTGCAAAGATATTTAGCATATCACAACCAAGCGCGTTCTCAGCGTTTATCCGTCGAGGTCGTGAAAGAAAAACCTGATATACTTCAACAGAATAGGATTGAAGCAAGCATTGAAAGCGATATTTTAGAGAGCGCCCCAAAATCGCTAAAAAAGAAAGCGCAACTTTTGCTAAATCATTTAAAAAAAAATAACGTGACATGGAATTCCAAAGGAGAAGTTTCATATCACGGAGAGATCATAAATAATTCCAACATTTTAGATCTTGTAAACGATGCCTTACGCAGACGCACTCGCTTCAAACCGGTTGGCTATAAGAACTTTTACGAGGTTTTAAAGGAGACAAACGTACCACTTGATTTAGTCGGACACGAAGAACGTTGGAGTGAGCTTCAGAGAAACGAAAAGAACCGCGAAGTTCCGGAATATTTAAAAAACCTTGTTTGGGAAACATATTAAACTGATGACGTACGAGGATAAATACTTTATACCTAAAAAAGTTGGAAGCTTGGGCAGTGTAGAAGCTTTTTCGAGAGTAAACCCCGCGATCCCGAAAAAAACGATTAAAGAATGGCTGTCTTCTCAAGACACATACACGCTTCACAAACCAGCTCGACGGAGATTTACTCGACGGAAAGTAATTGTCGGTGGGATCGATCATCAATGGCAGGCTGATTTAGTTGATCTTTCACGAATAAAAAAACACAATGACAAATACACTTTCGTTTTAACCTGCATTGATGTTTTTTCGAAGTACGCTTGGGCCGTACCGTTAAAAAACAAAACAGGAAAATCTTTGGTGTCGGCGTTTGAGTGGATTTTGCAGCAAGAAGGTCGAAAACCCATTACTTTACAGACTGACAAAGGGTCAGAGTTTACTAATAAATATTTCCAGCGGTGGTTGAAGTTACAGAGCATAGGTTTTTTTACAACTCACAACGAAGAAACGAAGGCAAGTGTGGTGGAGCGTTTTAATCGTACAATCAAAACAAGAATGTGGCGGTATTTTACCGCTACAAACGCTTTAAGATACATTGATATTTTACAAGATTTGATTTATTCTTATAATCACACGTATCATAGAAGTATAAAGATTACTCCGGCCCGCGTAAACAAAAGTTTAGTAGATAAGATCTGGTACAATCTTTACGGAGCTTGCGGAAATATCATTAAACCAAAAATCCCTGTCGGAGCGTGTGTTCGTATTAGCAAAGTTAACACCAAATTCAAGAAAGGCTATTCACCAAATTGGAGCGAGGAAATATTCACCGTAGCTAAAAGTCAAGCCGGCAATCCACCGCTGTACGTTTTAACTGATTATAACGGAGAGCAACTACAAGGACGCTTTTACAACCAAGAATTACAAGTAGTGAAAAAGCAAGACGTTTTTCGAATAGAAAAGATCCTCCGCAAACGAAAACGCGGTCGGAAAACACAAGCTCTCGTCAAATGGTTTGGTTACCCCGATTCGTTTAATAGTTGGATAAATATGAGTGATATTCAGCAGTATAAATAAATGTGAAATACCAACACACCCTCATTTCACAGCATGAATCCTGATAATACTACCACACGTTCTTGGTCTTTGTTATCAGCAAGTGCGAACAAAAACCTGCTTGTGTTTTTGTGTCAAGTGATCGTCGCGTATTCGGTGATCATAGCTTCTGTCTACAACCTCACTAACGACAGTAATCAAACAGATTTATGGGTAGCGTTATTAACAAGTAGTTTGGGGTATCTTATGCCGAGTCCCACGCTGAGAACTAACTAAATGTTTTATTTGACGCTGCCGAGTAATAGTTCTTTAAACTATTTTCCAAACAACACGTTAACGGAATTTATCACCAAACTACCGAGATTTATTAATTTACCGATTGGGAACTGGGAAGTAGGATTGTCCGATATTCAATATCCTCGTACGTGGTGTAACATCGACCAACAAGACGCCGCAATCGGGATCCTTGACGCAAGCGCCGACAAAGAAGGTGCCGTTGCAAAAAGGAGTATACCTGTTTGGGTTGTTCTTCCCGCAGGTTATTATAATTCTGCAGAGAAAATAATCTCAGCCCTTCAAAATCTGGTAAAACGTAAAAGATAACAAAGCATTTTGAGCTTTAAATATGACGATACTCAGCGAAAGTGCACGTTAAGGGTCAAACAACGCAAGACAAATATTACTTTAAGCCCGTCGCTCAGCGACGTATTAGGCTTTGCCTCGGATAAAATTTTCAGCGAAGGCAGTCACCCAGCTGATCGATCAATAGATGTCAATAAAGGCTTTTATACGCTTTTCATTTATTGTGATCTCATGCTGCCCCGAATAGTGGGAGATGTTGAAGTACCTTTACTCGCAACAGTACCGGTTAAAGGTGAATATGGAGAAATCATTCACCATTCTTTTAAGAATATTTTATATCACCCAATACAAAAGCGAAATTTTGATTCTGTTGAAGTTAATATAAGAGACGACGGAGGGAAACCAGTGTCATTTAACAGTGGGCGTGTAATTGTCACACTGCATTTCCGAAGAAGAGGCTCTGCGGGAGCACTTCTATGATGTTTTCCAGCAGCCAACATCAAGTTCCTTTTTATCCAGACAACAAACTTTATGAAAATTACTACGAAAATCAAGTGGGACGCGGTCTACCGGTGTTTGCTGGGTCATATGTTCAGAACGGTTCTGGATTGGGGAGTATTTTAAGTAGCCTTGGTAGAGCAGTATTGCCGCTTATGAAAAGAGGAGCAAAAGCTTTAGGGCGTCAAGTTGTTCAGACGGGAGCGCAGGTCGCGCAAGATGTTTTATCGGGGCACAACGTAAAGGAGTCCACCGCGAAACGGTCTAAACAAGCTGGAAAACGACTACTCGAAATGGCTGTTGAGCATGTAGTACCGGGAGAAGCACATAAACCCAGCAATAAAAAGAGGAGAACGGTAAAAACACCCCTTAGTCAGCAAAAACGCAAGAAGCGGAAAGGATTGACAAAAAAAGATATATTTACGAAATGACCAGTTTGATCCATCCCAATTCTTGTGAATGTGCCAAGAGCGAACTCGATTTATTTCACGTTAACCCCACTCAGACAAGCGTAGAAAATGGAAAATGGGTCGAATACAAACCAATGACTTCTATCACTGACGGGGGACCGATTGAATTTCTAGTTGGTGGAGCTACAGAAAATTACTTAGATCTACTTAACACTTTCATTCACATTCGGGCGCAGATTGTAAATCAAGACGGAACACTTCTAGCGGCGGACGCCGATGTAGCACCAATTAATTACTTACTAAATACTATGTGGTCTCAAGTAGATCTGTCTCGTAACGGTAAACTCATTACAACATCTACCAATACATACCCATACCGTTCTTATCTGGAGACTCTTCTGAGTTATGGCCCCGCAGCGAAAGATACGCAGCTTGCCGCAGGGCCCTGGGTTGGTGACACAGCGGGACATATGGACAGTCGAGCTGATGAAAACACTGGCTTTCAGCGCCGAAAACAGATATCTGAAAGATCTCGTATTTGCGACATGATGGGAAAACTTCATTTGGACATGTTTTTTCAGAATCGGTATTTAATCAACGGAGTGGATATGAAATTAAAACTTACTCGCTCAAAAGACTCTTTCGCATTAATCGCCCCAGACAACTCCAATTTTAAAATTAAAATTCAAGATGCTACTCTGATTGTGAGACAAGTAAAATTGAGCCCTGCTGTTATGTACGCACATATAAAAGCAATTTCCAAGGGATTGTGCAAGTACCCTATCAGAAGATGCGAATTGAAAACCTATTCTATTGCAGCTGGTAATCTAACGTTTAGCCAAGAAAATCTGACTCTTGGTCGTCTACCCAAACGCGTTGTTGTTGTTGTTGTTGTAGACAACGATGCCTATAACGGGCGTTATTCCAAAAATCCATTTCACTTTCAGAACTACAACATAAACTTTCTTTCGTTAAATGTCGGCGGAGAGCCTGTCCAGGGAAAACCGTTCGAACCCAATTTTGAAAGAGGTCAAACAGTGAGAGGTTATCTCTCGCTATTCACAGAAACAGGACAATTTTTTAGAGACGAGGGGAATAACATCATCAAGCACGACTATGAAAACGGCTATACATTGTTCTGCTTCGATCTCAGTCCTAGTTTATCTAGTGGAAATACACATTTCGATCTTATAAAACAAGGAAATCTGAGGATAGAAGTCCATTTCGCCCAAGCTTTACCGAGAACTATAAGTTTATTATTGTTTTTGGAATACGAAAATATAATCGAAATATCCAAAACAAGAAATGTATTCATTGACTACGCTTGATGAATAACTTGGAGATAGATCGCATTCTCAAGACCGACACACAAGCTAAAACAATTTTTTGTGGAACATTTCCCAGTGACTATCTGCTACGATCCACCGTGGAATATCCGTCGGCGTTTGTCGTCAACACAGACCCGAGCTCCGAACCCGGTGGTCACTGGATAGCCATCTACCTCAATGAAGACGGCGAAGGAGAATACTTTGATTCGTTTGGAATAGCGCCCGTAAGACGAGACTTTCTTAAATTTCTGAGGGAAAAGTCGTGGATTTGGAGCTTCAATAAAAACACTATACAAGATTACGGATCGTCAAAGTGCGGTGTCTACTGTGTATTTTTTATACTCATGCGTTGTCGCGGTCACACTATGAACAACATCGTCTCACTCTTCGGAGAAGACCTCCAGACTAACGACGCGTTAGTGACTGACTACCTATCTTGTTTAATTGCCTAACTTTCATGTGTTGATTATAATAAATGTATTCAGAACAGAAATCCGTGTATTTATTGTTAAAAGAATCAGTGACAATCTCAAAAACGAGAAAAAAATTAAGCAAGCATGCTATTTGTCAACTCATCTAAAGTGCAGATTTTCGCTTCCAAAGGATTAGTATAGTCGGTTAAGGTGTTAGTAAGTTCAGTTACTTCTGTTGGAAAGCTTCCTACCACAGGATTAATTCTGTCAAATCTGCTAAACTTTGTCAATTGCACGTACCGACGTCCATTAAATTCCTTCAGCTTCAAATGTCTCAGGCGTAAGCAGTCTCCGATCTTGAAAGCGTTTGTGTGGTTACCCCAAAGTTTTAGTCGTATATGCCCAGAAGAGTCAGCTAGTGTAACATCTTGCATGAATACTTTACGATTGTTCACTTCCAATTTCTCAATAGGTTCGATGTCGAGAACGTCGGCGACTATGTTACACCAAGAGATCTCGCTATCCAAAACGTTCACAATAGGTGAATAACAGTCAACAGCGTCGAGTGTAAACTTGAAGTCGGACCCTTTGAAGGACGAATCCGACAAAACTTTAATCTGTAAATCACCCCTTCTCTTGTTCGGTATCACGTCGACAAACTCAAAAGCAACTGGGCGTTGTTTATCAAAATATTCTTTCAATTCCGCGAATTTCTTCGAGTGAAAACAAACAAATTCAATAAACTTTTGACCTTGATTTTGACCTTGACTTGATGTTGTTCATAGCGTGACCACGACATGATTTCCTAAACACGATCTGCGAACGGAAACAATATCACATAACAGCCCACGCACCAACATTTGCAACATAATTTTACACCACATCACGATTTGCACCAACATCTGAACCAACATAATGTCGCACCGCATTTAGGCCAACATGTTTGTATTTCTTGTAAAATTTAAAAAAAATTTTCCAAAATCAAAAATAAGTAAGGAAAAAACTGTAAACGAGCTTAAAACCACAAAACATGACACACGAACAATGCACCGATACCGGAAACAATATTATATAACCGCACTGAGCCAACATTTTACGCCACATCACGATTTACACCAACATCTGTACCAACATTTTGCACAACATCACGATTTACACCAACATCTAACAATGTACCGATATCGGAAACAATATTATATGATATCCCACGCACTGAGCCAACATTTTACGCCACATCACGATTTACACCAACATCTGCGCCAACATTTTACACCACACTGCACCAACATTTTAACCATCATTGCACCAACATTTTAACCATCATTGCACCAACATTTTAACCATCATTTGGGTATCGAATACGACATATACTACTACTCTGTAGAAGTTAGACTATGATCTAACGAAAGCTCACAAATATACTTGCTATTTCGTGGAAACAGATTATGTTAGCCTTCTTTATTGCTTATTAATATTACTTACTTCTTTATTGCTTAGTATAAAATAAATGTTGAGTACTGCTATCAGATGAGAATGACTTCAGACTGCACTCTATTGTTATATTGCAAATAATCGACAAGGATATGGATTGGTCGAGCTATTCACACTGATATTTTCGTTTTCCTTCATCCTGTTTATATTGCTCATATTGGAATATTTAGTGTAAGTGACCCTGAATCACAATACTTTTTGCATCTCTGCTTCGTTTTTAGAAATTTATTTCTTATTTATTCGTTTTTTCATTCTGCTCATTTGTATATTAACTATGTCACGATATGTGGATAAGATCACTAAAAAACTGGATTTTGGTGTATCTGTAAAACCTATTTGATAATTACTTAATGTGTCAAAGGGGCCTGATCAGCTATCGCTAATGTGCTTTTACGTATTTACATATGAGGTTCAAATCACTGGGGGTAAAAACCTTTCTTCTACAAATTTAGTGTATGAAAAAAGGGTGTAGACCAGGGTGGTCCAAACCTAAGCCCGCGGGCCACATGTGGCTCGCGGATTTATTATATGTGGCCCGCTTCAAATTCGGAGAGTAATCAAAAAATCGCATTTCGTGTTATTTCGTAATAAAATTAATCAGAAAAATCTTTTTAACATATTGTTACATCAATAATGTCACTCAATTGACTAGTGTTATGGCTAGCTGAGGCAACTAGCAAAGTTGAATGATGTGCTTGGCAGTCTTAATTATTATCTGGCTTTCATTTTTTGGCCGGAAAAATATGCTAACAATATAGGCATCATAGTAAACTAAAAATCGAATGTGGATTCTATTAGCCTGGGATGGCTATGTCTGATAACTATGTGTTTGCACAATAAAAGTGTTTGTTTTGTATTGCACTGTTGACCTATTCTTGGCACTATTGTGGCCCGCGAACAATGCAAAAATAATTTTGTGGCCCGCGAAGACGACAACCTTGGACCACCCTGGCGTGAACTTTATATTAGTTGTGTTTTCAAAATTAATTGTCAAATGGAAAACATTACACATCGATATTATGAACTTAATTTTAAAATTGAACACCATTACTGCCAATATCAGATTAGTGTAAGAGTTTGCACCAAATACTAGTATAATTTTCTGGTATTCTTATTTATCTTTATAATAGCATCCTTGTGGCAACTGACACATTCGGATCCGAAGTAGAACGTAAACAAGGAGAAGGGACTTGCAGTTCAGTACACAATACCCTAGCACACCCCGTATTAATACCGAGAGGTTGTTGTTTCAGATTACATCGAAGTATCCCTTCATGTTCGTCAAACATTCGGGTTACTTGCAGGTAATACAATACTTTATCAGTCTGATCAAAGTCCAGCACACCTAATGAATGACCTACACAACGTATGATTAGCTTATTTAATCGTAAAGCAGCTTTTGAATATGTGCGTGAGATCACTATAATGGCGAAAGTACTGAATTGAATTCATAGGGGCGTTTTAATTATATTACGCAAATATTGGCGGCAATAAAATGACCATACAAAAAGTGTTCATGAAGAGGGGCACGACTGGGTCAATTGCGTAAACTGATTGGCATGTAAGAATTTGTTCAACTAAAACATAGCGAAAAGCAGGAAAGTTATTAGAAAAATATATCAACCATGCACGATAGCCTGTTCGCTAACAGATTATCATACATGAGCTTTCGCATACAACTGCCAGACTCGCTGAATCAGCATCACTTACGTCAATGCTTAAATTGATTTTGATTGGCTCAATGCTATAAGGTAAAATGTTTGTTCAGTTCTACTTCCTCTTCTTCAAATTCTTGTAAGCAGTTGAATATGTAGAATTTTGGGGATAGAAATTGTTTTATAGAGCTCAGGTATGGGTAACATGCTGGCACTCCAGAAGTGTGTGTGCCAATATGGAAGTAATTAATTTTGTTCGCTTACATTACATCAAGTTGTGTAAAGGGACTGAAACCTATGGGCAGGGGTTTATTCACTTGGCTAAACAGACTGCCTCCAAAATAGAACTAAAATAGGTAAAATAAGAATAAAATTATAGTTTAACCCTAACCTGGTACACACACTACGGGAGTACAATTATGCTAGCAAATTGCATTTCCATGCAGCGACTAGAGCAGCTATATGTTAGCTGACTTTAGCAAAATAATAAGAAGCAAGTTGAGATCATTACAAGAAGAACTTTCAGTTTCGGTACTCCCGAAGTATGTGAACCAAGATGGCGGGCAGCAGAACGAGAACGTAATATGCGTACTAGATTAGGCCATAATTTTATTTCAATTTTTCTCATTTTAGTTCTATTACGAGTTTAGGGACTAGCCAAGTGACTCCCGTAGTATTTGTACCTGAAATTATGGCCCAACCCTAACCTGGTACACATACTACGTTCCGGTGTCGCCATCTTGGTTCACATACCTCGTGAGTACCCAGTTTTTAATAGATACAGAGGATATGATGGTATTCCGTTAGCATTCCATTATTCACCAGTGGCTGTTTGTTAGCGACTTGTTTGAGATGACATCGTGTAAGACGTCACATATAAAAATAAGTCATAATCGGCATTCGGTATCGTTGCTCATGGCTATATAAAGTAACAATTCCAAAGCTTAATCCAGTGTTTTGGAGTAGCGGTTTGCATGTTTTCATCGAAGCCAGAGAAATATTCTCAAGTCAGAAGTTTCTACATGGGTTAAAAAGGCATTGCGTTTTACCGGGCGTTTTTAACAGTCTATCAAAGTATGCTGATAACACGGCAAGGATTTTGGTATCTTGTGTATTGAATGTTTGCACAATTGATAAAAATGTTGTAGTAATCGTTGTGCGACAACAACGCAAATGTATTGAAAAGGATCTACATTGTATGGGTCAGAAATCAGCGTTGTGGTTATTGATGAAAACAATGTAAATAAATTCAGAAACTCATTCCTATCAAACTGACAGACGCATTTAATTGTCGATCATAGTTGAACAAACAATAGAGATGAACGTTGACAAACTCGATGTCCGCGCTATGATAATTGTGCATGTAACGTAAATAAAATTATATATTCAGGTACCTAACGCTGGGCTGGGTTTCAAACTTACCCTATATTTCATCTCGGGG